TAGCGAGCAGGGGGTGGAGCCTCCTAGTGTATATATATTACAATTATTTTATACGATTTAAACTATGAGCACAGTTTTATTGTTTTTTCTTCTCAGTAAATTTTTGTTAAATGCTAAATTAATATATCTATGTTTAACTTTTCCTCTAAGCCAGTAAATTTGTTTTCTGCATTCTTTCTTTTATCTCAACTCATTTTCAATTGCATTTTCATTTTTTCGCGATATCGACGCATTATAAAGAGTTACTTTTATCTTAGGATAATTATTCTTTATTTTGAAATATCGCAATTACCATCGTAAAGAAATGCGTCCTAAAGAGAAATTTACGTTTTCCCATTAAAAAATTTCTACTTTATTTTATTTTATAATTTTTACCTTTGTGTTTATATATACATAATGTTCAACTCCGTAGCCTTGTAATTTTGAACAAATCCAGGAGACAAGGAAACTCCTGAATCAGTACCCCCTGTGGTATTGATTTGTTATGGGAACATGGAGGACTTCGCGATTCGACAGATTTAACGTGCATCAGTCACCATTTACTACACGCGGAGTCTTCGGCCGGCGGGGACCAAGCCCACGAACTCTTGGACACGGGTCCAGTACCCTTCCAACCAGGTTATCCCGGCCTAATCAGTTGTATTTTTATTTTATTCTATGGCCATCGTTGAACAGCCGACCCAATTTTTGGGTTTACTACTACTAATGTTCAACTCCGTAGCCTAGTAATTTTGAACACAATTCAAACACAAGGAAACTCCTGGATCAAGAATTGGGAGAAATTTGCCTTCGTGGAGGACCTTTTGATGGCACTAACCCGCATTTGCGTTACATGGAGAGGAAGACCACGAGAACTTTCCACGATCCGTCTACCACTGAGGATATTTCACGTCATCACTGTGGTCGGTGCAAGCCGGGTGCGGAATTCATATCGACTGGGATTCGAACCCCGTTCGCCTTATTAGAAGGCGAACGCTCTATATCTGAGCCATCACGGCTCCAATCAGTTGTACTCTTCTGATCTGTTAAATGATTTAGAGCTTAACGATCAGCTTCATGCACAATGAGATGCAAGCAAAAGTAGTATGTAATACTAGGACGCTCTGCCCCCTGCTCGCTAACGCTCGCCAACCCCCCAGAAATGCTACGCAATCCTATGTGGTTCACGCCGTGAACCATGGCTCGCTGCGCTCGCTCGCCATTGAACACAATGTTCTAGCACAAAGACATAGTATATTATCATCAAAGACATAGTATTTTATCATCAAAGACATACTATTGTATTTATGTAGAAGAATTTTATCAATGTTCTTATTGGCTCTTAAAAAAGTATATTAGCTATTTAAATTGTACATGGTGAAAAAATCAAAACATTAGCTAAATAATAAACATATTAGCGAAATAAATTATCAAATATTGCAGTTACTCACCAAAATTCAACTAAATTAGTTAATGCTAGAAATTCTGAAAGTTTAAGAAAAAAATTTTTATTATTTAAAAATATAAACTTTAAACCCTAACTTTTCCTGGTGAGATAATAACCCTCAAAAAGTCTTTCATTTTCAAGAACACAAAAATTTGTTTTATCGCCAAATGAAATATTTTTTGGTGATCAGCATTATTGAAATCAATTTCTATATTAATTAACATTTGTGATAAAGTACATAACATTTTAGAACAAAATAAGGATGTTTTACATACAATAAATTAANTCTGACCTTGTGACTTATTTATAGTCATGGAGAAGGCCAGCCTAATTAATTCCTAATTGAGTTTAAATTAAATATTATCATGTTTTCAGGGCATGAATCTGATTTGAACAACCTGATAATGCTCACTCTGGTTATTGTTTCCTTTTTTAAAAGCGCTATATGTTAAGCCACCTCATGTGACATTTGTCATGTGACATTTTTAGCAGCAATCATTAGTCGATTTTCTAACGTTGCCATTCGGGGAGTTGTAATGAGGCTTTTTTTTGGTGCCGTGTAAGAGAAATATATATATAGATATCCACCCGTTTGGTAAGCGAAATTATTAAATTACGGTTGTGATTTCACTAAATTTGTTTGAATAATATAATGTTATAACAATATAAATGTTATTTTAAAAAGATGATGACTTAGAAAAGCTCACCAATAAATCTGAATATTTATAATATTTAGACATGGAGGTAGAGGCACAAGTTTAAATAAACATAATTCCTTATAGAACATCTATGTAAAGTAAATAATTTTAGAAAAACTGTTGTAGAAATACTGTTTATTGCCATGAAACAGCAAATATTGCAAGGCAATCATCAGGGTTGGTGAACGGCAGTGAACAGAGGGTTTAGCCAACACCTCCTAGAAAAGAGAAAGCCTCAGCACGAGTTACCATAAGTAAGAAATTTAATCCATTAGTAGTCCAAACGTAATGATTCACTACCACTGTATGATTTACTTCCACTGTACTGCTTAGTATCTCGAACTTAGTTACACCTTTCTTATTTTTCATCCACTGTGCAGTTCATGCTCGTTACGTCGAACTACAAAATTGATCCGTGATGAGGCCTTCTTTCTTCTTGGGGAAGTTGGCTTAACTCCTAGCGCAATGTCTTAAAATTAAATAAGAATGTATTTAAATTCTTACTTTATATTCTTCATTGTCAGTCTTTGATTGATTATAATCAAAGTTTGGACACTCAGCTATGCTATCCAAAGATCTGTTTTCGGGTAATACCACTGTCTGCTTGACCATCGCGACAATGGTCACGCTGATACTGGCTCTAATAGCGTACATACAAATAGTACCCACAAGTGCGAGAAAAACAAAAATATATCTCTTTGGAAGATAATAATCCAACCATCCTGAAAATAAAAAGAATATTAATGTTTTGATATTGATCGCTGTTTAAACTAATACTATAAGCCTTTAAAAAAGTCTTAAATAATTTTAAAAAATTGACGTACTATTTTTTTATTTTTACTGTGTTTGTGTTATTTCGTTTGTTTATGTGAGGATGGATTCTTTACTATCAAATGTTTAATCATTTTTCCACCAGTAAGCAGTACTCAAAATCTCCAATAGCGAGCAATTAAACTTCAATCGTTTAATTGTAATTTGTATTCAAAAAGAATATAAGTTTGATCAAAGTTCGAACGCTTTCTGACTAATGTTGGGCAAATTTCCATTGGAATTTAGTGGCTGATGATAATAAAAGGTCAATTGGTTTCCTAACCCACGATGAATTGAATTTGTAGCCAAATAAATTATGGGAATCAATCGTCCGATAAAATCTTGTCCACTTTCCAGCTACCTAGAATGCTCATTATTTAGCTGGCGATCTGTACTGAATGACAAAACACGGGTCAATTGTTTTCAGACTGCAGATAACACATACTATCGCTAACTAAAATTTCGAAACCGTCATAAGCGACCTAACACAAAATAGAAACTTATAGGAACTGAACCATTCGTTTTTCTTTCAGCCAAACACAAAACTGAAATTTTTAGTGTTGCACTATTTATTGTTTTTAATCCCATTACGGCCGACTCTGCACAGTTGGACGGAATAGTTATTAACTCAATGAATAAAAAGTGGCATTATATGAATGTTTTAAACTATGTTTCAACTGTAAAAAATTTTCTTCTTTTAGCTACCATTTTAATTTTATTAATACTCATTAAATGTATAAACAACAATATAGTTAGTTATCTGGTTCAGCAAAAGAAAAAGAAAAAATCAATAGTATTTGCCGTCACCACAGGAAATTGCAAATTTTTTTTTTATATTCATATTTTAGTCGTCGATATACTAAACTATATGACAAACGATGGCATTATCTTATCTCTTTGAGTCACGTCAGATCCGATGAATCAGTGAGAGCCGATTAGGGCTGCTACTGAGTAATCAATTTTACTCAGTAGCAATTTTAATTATTAATATATTCTAGTAGTCATGAGATACCTCTTATTTATAAGTCTTCAGAACAAAATAACATCCATTTTTTACGTTTTGAGCATTTTTGCATCTCGAGAAAAATAAGTACTTTCATATCACATTCGGTCGTAAAGGGCTAAAATTGGCAAGAGGCTTAGTCGTAACTAATGAAATGATTTAATTCTGTCCTAGTTATAGAAAATGGTAAATTTTAAAACACATAATTCATTTTAATACTAAATAAGACGGGACAATTATGTTTAAAATATAACTACCACGTTTGAATTGGAGAATGATTGAAAGAGCTAAAATTTTAAGCATATAATTGATTATAAGAGAATTTTATTTTTGTACTAATGAGGACGTGACAATCATGCTGGAAATAGGAGAATTGCCATGTTTGAATAGGAGAATGATTAAAGGATGGAAATTTTAAACTCATAATTCATTATAAAAGAATTTTATTTTTGTACTAAAGAAGAAGTAACAATCATGTTTGAAATAGGTGAATATTATAAATTTCAAAAAAAAAATACCCTATACATTTATATTTAATTAAAATAACTGCGAACTTCGACTATTTAAAGAAAAAAATAATCCCCTTAAATCATTTATTCAAATCGCCTTAGTGTTTTGACTCCTAGAAGCTAGTCCAAAATTAAATAAATATACTTGAAGCAAAACTATTTTTGCTCACAAATATTATTTTTGAAATCAATAATTTTTATGTCTTACTTTGGGTCTTGATTTTCTCTGAAAAATCTACAATTGGATCTACCATTCTGTCTACTTTTGGTGCTCAAAATTTTAACGAAATAAAAGAAATAAGTGTTTTCAAATAAATGTTACAAATTAACGGTTCTTTCTGTCGTGCACGAAGGAAGTTTTTAAAAATACTTATCTGAGAGAAAATAACGAAATAACTGCTTTTAAACACGCATTTCACAATTCGTGATTTTCTTCTAACAAACACAATGATTATATTGTTTATCAAGTAAATATTTTATGTTTGAAATAGCACAGAAAACAATTAATGAAATAGCGCTTATTTTTCAATCGATTGTAAAGTGATTCTATGAAATTAAAAATAAACACACCTTGAACGTAAAATAATAGAAAAATAAATATTAAAATAAATAAGGATGGAAATGTCTTACTTTAACTTATATTCTAGATTAATAGTTAGTCATTGAATAATTATAGTGATTAATTTTTGCTAGTTATATAACTGCAATTTATTTTTAAATTTAATTTACATAATGTCTTACTAACCGTATAAATTTCTTATAAACGTGTTTTTTAAAGTTCCTCTTAGTGATTAAAATTATTAAATTTAGTTGGTAGTACTACTATATTTTCCTTTTAAATTTAATTTAT